TGAAAGGAGTGAAGGACAGAGGAGGATGGAGAGAAGGGCGTGAAGGGAAGGCAGACGCAAGAAGGGCTGCCAGGGCCCCCTGTGTGACTAGAGAACAGGCACCTGATGGGAGGCGACGACTCACTGGAAAATACCCTCATGCCGGGAAAGACTGAGGGTAGGAGGAGAAGGGGGTGATGGAGAACGAGATGGTTGGATGGCATCACCAACTCAATGGACATGAGTTTGAGCAAGCTCCGGGAGATGGGGAACGACAGGGAGGCCTGGTGTGCTGCAGTCCATGGGGTCGCAAAGAGTCAGACGGGACTGAACAAGAACAACGAGCTACATAGCAGGGAGAGAAGGAAGAACACCGTCAGAGACTGCGTCCTCCCCAGACCCATGCTGACGCTCTGCCCCCAGTGGTACTTGGCGGTAGGGCTCTGGGAGGTGAGCTGATGCATGAGGTCGTGAGGGTGGGGTCCCCACGAGGGGGTCAGTGTCCTCGGGATAAGGGAGCAGAGCAGAGAGCTCTCCCCTTCCTGCGGACACGGGAAGGGGTGGCCACTAGCGAGGCAGGAAGAAGCTCTCACCGGGAACTGAACTGCCCAGGACCTTGGCCTTGGGCTTCAGCCTCCAGAGCTACAAGAAACAATGTCTGTGGTTTGAGCCGTTCGGCCGACCACACTCTGTGGCAGCAGCGGAGCTGACTCAAACAGCGCCAGCCTCGTCTGTGTGGTTCAAGCACAGGGTCCTCCCCCGACCCCCTGCCCTGCCGGCAGGCAGAAAGTTGGGCCCGTCTGTTCAGCCCCAACCGTATCCGTACGTGGGCAGACACCCTGACACCCAGGGGCTGGGGCCATCTTAACCCTCTCTTCCACCCCATCAAAGGCAGATCCTGAAGACTTACACTGCAGAGTTTTTGGGAGTTATGCAGACGAATGTCAGATCCCAGAGGCTGGCGTGATGGCTGTTACAAGCAACCCTGAGGGGACCAGGAGGCGCCGTGGGCCAGGGTCCAGCTGGTGAGCTGGGCGCTGTGGGCAGGCCTGTTCTCTGCCCACACCCCTGGTACTGGGCGGGACAGGCTGCCCGTGAGTCAGTGCAAGAGAAGACTGACACAAACCCAGACAGGACAAGCGCCCAGGCCGCTTCCCGGCCTGGAGCAGGGTGGGGAAAGGATGGTATTCAGATCCAAACCTCCCTGAGCAGATCTGTGTCAGGAGCGTGATGTAAGGCAGGGCTTCCTGCTGACCCGCCCAGAGAGGGTTCCCGACGCAAGAAGCGCATCCCTGGGGAAGTGGGCCTGGGTGGTGGGCCCGGGGCAGTCATCCCTGGGTGGTCCTCCCTGGCTGGCCACCCTCACCCCTGCCCTGGGGTGGTGCTGACACGTCCTCTTCCTCGGTGTGCGTGCTGAGTGAGGTCTGGGTCCCTGGTGTGAGAGGTGCTGCCTGTGGTAGGGCAGGAAGGAGTGCAGGGCCCAGGGTCTCCCCACCTCCCCAGCAGGTGGGACAGGCTGACACGAAGCAGGCACCCAGGCTGCCGTCTGGAGGTATGCTGTGGGTGTGCCGGGGACAGTCCTTCTACAGGGACCTGGCAGACGCGGGGGCTGCTCCCAAGGCTGAACTCTGCCGGGACCTTTATACTGGGCCCAGAGCTCCCCTGATGGCACCACAGTGACCGGGCCCCTCCTGCATCCGGCAGCTCAGCATGGTCGCGGGCGCTTGGCCAACATGAGCTGCTGCACTCAGAAACCAGAGACTCCTCTTCTCTTTCTGAGTCTACGTGAGGCTCCCCCCTGCCCCTGTCCCAAGCTCATCGCACACGCTCCAGAAAGCTTGTTTCTCTTCTACACCTCATCTGATTGCAGGATGCACTAGAGACTGAACAAATGTGGGGTGGTGGTAGCTTTATGGAAAAGCCCCCAAAGATTTGTAACTCCTTTCCCATGTCCCCAGCGCTGGGCTGAGAGTCAGCAAAGACACAAAGAAGGAAGAGGGTGGAGGTCCAGGGGACAGAGGGAGTGGGTGGCTTGTTGTGCAGGGAACAGGCTGGTCCCCAACATGGTGGGAAGAGAGAGAAGAGACAATGTGTGTGTTACCCAATTTGTGTATCAGTTGAACATTCTCACTTCCAAATGTTTTCAGGCTGCCGCAAGCCAGTCTCAGAGCTGGGCTCCTCTACTGGGTAGTCAAGTGTAAGTGTGTGCTTAGTCGTGTCTGACTCTCTGCGACCCCATGGACTGTAGCCCACCAGATGCCTCTGCCCATGGCATTTCCCAGGTGAGAATGCTGGAGTGGGTTGCCATTTCCTTCTCCAGGGGATCTTCCCAACCTAGGGATCAAACCCTCATCTCCTATGACTCCTGCAATGGTAGGCAGATTCTTTACCACTGTGCCACCTGGCAGGTACTTGGTTCTATTTTTAATGGGAACCCAGCAGAAGCTTGGAGAAGGGCAGGATGACACGGTAGGAAGAGCTTTGCAGTGAGACGACTCAGTGCCCAGGGAAGGCGCTGGCTTCTGCTGCAGACAGCACCCTCAGGGCTGCGATGAGCATGCTGTGCGGTAACACAACGTGCACTAGAGGATTGTGACGCTTGTCTGCGACGGGCCGTGGGGAGCCCAGGCTTTGGGGGCAGAAGACGGGATGTCTGCGTGGTGAGGTGGGGGTAGCAGCGTTCTGCACGTGATCCTGCCAGACGGCGAGGACGCCTGAGGAACCAAGGGCGGGGCTTTCCTGCCCACAACATGCTCCCTGGGAAAGAACCAGGATGCTGACCTGCTGCTTGGGAGGTGGCAGCGAACCCTTCAGGGCCCCAAAGTCACAACTGGTGTTTTATTAGCTACCTGCTGCAGCCATTCTTCAGTTTCAGCTTAGAGCGTTGAGCTTTTCATTTTTCCCCATGTAACGCTTTGGGGAACTTTGCTAGAAAGCAGGTGGAAATAATGCAGTGTACCCAAACAAGCCAAATACTGAGGAGACCATGTCCCCAGGGAGTGCCGGCGGGGTCTCAGCCTGAATGCTCACTGGCAGGGTGTTGGGGAGGTCATAGGAGGCGGAGGCTGTTGGACTCCACAAAGTGCTTTTAGAAGATAAGCTGTCAGTTTTCGCCTGGGCTGATGGACTGTCAGGGTGATTTGAGCGCACCGAGGAATCCTGAACCAGCCCTTCCAGCCCTGAGTGGGCCCAAGGTCGTCCTGGCCCTTGGGGGTGGTCTGGTTTGGCCCCCAGGACCCCTGAGCTCCTGGAGGTAACAGAGGCAGTCCCGCTCTTTCAGTAAAGTCCCCCAGATGGCAACACCCCACCCTCCCTCTGCCAGTGGAGCCAGCTGCCCAGATCAGCTTGGGGCTCTCTTGATGAACATCGAGTGCAAACGGCTCGAGGCAGCTGGCAAGATGCTAAGTGCAGCATCAATCCTAATTAGGATGAGAAATTAATAAAGGAGGCATGCGAGCCAGTCTGCGGAGGCCAGGCTTGCCGGCGCGGAGAAGCAAGTTCCAGTTTCCGTTGAAACTGGAAGGCCTGGGGTCAATACGTGGGTGTGGGTGACAACAGGGGGATGAGTTAACAGGACCATGTACATACACGGCACCCAGCAGAGCCTGTGAGTTAGAGCTCGGGGCCGGCAGCCTTGTTCTGTGTCTAACTCAGGTGCTGTGGTGGGGAGTGACGTGGGTGCGTCCTCCAGATGACAGGAGTAGGTGTTTGCGATCTGAGCAACTGCACCCCAGGAATGATGTTTTTCAAAAGAAAAGAGGGGGCGTCATCGTGAGCCCATAGATCCTTCCGGGGCTTTTCCGGGGCTGTTTCCCAAACTATTGATGGCACATTCCGGCTCTCAAGACTCCACTCTGCCCTGGCAATAAGCTTCAGGCTCAAAGGGCAAAGCAGCCTGGACTGGAAGGGTGTGTGTGTTGCGAGGTTGCTGTGGGGGGCAGAGGAAGCGGGAGAGGAGGGCGGGATTCCAGACGAGAACAGGCAGGATTCATGATGCGGAGGCGCAAGGCCGCCTCACCTGGCCACCCTTCTCTACACGGCCTCCGCGACCACGACCCCAAAGCCAGAAGAAGGGCCACCTCTTCCCGAGCTCCGCCCTCCTCCGCGAAGACCCAGCCAGGCCGGACTCTGCGCCCGGGACTGAGGGGCTGGGGCCGCAGGCAGAAGTCGGCCTGAGGGAGAACTTCCAGACCCCCCGAGGACGGAGGGAACACACGGGAAGGTTACGGGGAAAAAAGAGGAGACTGTTCGAAGATCGTGGGCAGGAACCCTCCCCCAGCTCCTCACCCCTTTTCCGACCTGAAAGCCCAGACCGAGCGGGGACCGTCCACAGCCTGGCTGGGACCCCGCCGCCCGACGGCCACCTGTTAGTGCAAGTTCCGCAGCGGGGCCGGCGGGAGGCGCTCCGCTCCGGCGCACGTCGCCATTGGCGGGGTCCCCGGAGGGAGCGGTCCCCACTGCCCAGGGGCACTCAGTCCCGGCCCCCAGAGCCATCCGTCCTTACGACACCCACTAGCCTGCCCGCCGCGCTCCTGGGGGCGCAGCGCCGCGTCCCTCCGGCCCCGCCCGGCGGCCACGCCCCTCCAGGCCGCCCCTGGTCCGCGCGGGTGCTTGCAGACCCTGGCTTCGGGACCTGCTCGGGGGGCTTGGTGACGCTCCCCTCCACTCCCCCCCCCACCCCCACCGAGCGGGCAGGAGCGGCCAGCGGTCCAAGGAAGAGTACTTGGCGGAGCAAGGTCTCGGCAGGGATCAGGCTCGAGCGACCCGGGTCTTCCAGACCCCCTCGGAGCCCAGCCCCCACTCCCACCCCTCGGCGGGGCCCGGAGCGATCTCGGAGCGGCCCTCGCGCTCCCCGCCCCCGGCCGGCCCCGCCCCAGGATGGCCAGTTCCCATAGCAATCGCACAGACACCGGTTGCCAAGCAACCTCTCCCCCTCCTCCTTCCCCTCCTCTCGCGTCCGCTCCCCCCAGCCTCAGCCTCCTCCCGCCCCCTCGCCAGCCGCCACCTCCCCTGGGGGCCCCGGCGCGGCCCCTCGGGATCGCTCTGGTCTCGGGCTGCGCGCGTGCGCGTGAGTTTCTGTGTGTTTCATTGTGTCAATGTGCGAGGGGGTGTGCGTGTGCCGGTGGAGAGTTTGTGGGATCCGTGTGTTGGGGGGTCCCCCGTGGCCGCGAGGGGACCCGCCCGCTCGCTCTGGCTCCTTTGTGTCTCTCGCGGAGCCAGTGCCGCGCCCACCCGTTCCCGGCCGGCGCCCGGAGCCGGGTGTGTGTGTGCGCGCGTGTGTCCGGGCGCGCGCGCGCGGGGTGGGGGGGCCGGGCCGGCCGTACCTTCGATGCAGCACACGCGCCACAGCCCCGAGTGGGTGAGGTCGCCGCGGGTGCGGCGGGGCGGGGGGCCGTCGTCCATGGTCAGGTTGGTGCCGTTGCAGATGTGCGCGCTGGAGTAGAGCCAGTAGTCCGTGCCGATGGCGATGGCCATGAGCGAGAAGGCGGCGAAGGCTCCGGCCGTGGTCAGCAGCGTCTGCAGCCCGCGGTCGCATCGCACCATGGTGGGCGCCTCATAGCCCAGGAACCGGCGTTGCTAGCCTCCCCGCTTTCCCAGCCCAGGACACCCCATCTTCCTTAAATGGCCCTGGGGCCTCTTTAATAGTGGGGAGTGTGTGCGCGCGCGCCTGTATCCCTCGATTCGCATACACATATCCGCGCCTTTACCTGGCGATGAGTACACAGGCGTGAGCGCGGGAGTGGGAGCGTTCAGGTCAGATTTCCAGAAGCAGCAGATGTGGGTCGCGGCCGGGAGACGCCAAGCCAGGCCCGGGCCAGTCCTCCCACCCCATTCCCCCCCGCCAGGTGGCTCCTGCACCCAGTGGGCAGGGCCTGGAGGACCGACTCTGGGGCTGAGGCAGAAGGGAGGTGGCAGATCCCTGTTTGAGGCCGGATGGGGCCGCCGTGGTGGACGTTAGTTTCTGACGGTCCTTTACTGCCAGTCCAGAGGGCCCCGTTTGTGCTAGATTCAAACATCTCCACCCACCGCTGGCTCCCTCTCTCCCCAGCTCCCCCTTCAATATCTTTCTTGCTTTTCCCCTTTCACTCTACTCGAGCTTAACTGGCTTTCCTCACCTCCTTCATTGCCAGACTCTGCCTCAGGCCCTGCTGACTTCACTTAATTGCCTTAGCTGCTGGCAGGATTCCAACCTGGACAGGCTCCGGCCAGCGTCTGAATGTCCAACCTGCCTCTGCTCGCTTCCCTCCCAGAGCCCATGCAGTTCTCTTCGCTCGCTACCCAGCATCCTGTGGGAAGCAGCCCTGGACCCCAGGAAGGTCTACAGAGAGCAGCTCTTCCTGGAAGATGCAGATTTCACCCTCTTTTTCCACTTTCCGTGACCCCTACGACCAAAGAAAGTTAATTACCCCATGCTGGAATTACTGGTCTCTCTTCCATGGGACTGTGAGCCTTTCCCCAGTCTGAGGTACATGCGACATGTTTGATCAAGAAATATTTCCTGCCCCCTGGAAAATGACATTCTGATTGGGGAAAATAGAGCGTATAAATAATAGGGGGAAATTCCAAGATGAGACTGACTGCATTAATTACCATTTGTCGATCCTTTCTCTGCCTTTGGGTGTTTGTTCTGCTTCTTCCAAGTCTCAGAGGACAAGAATCATCATGTGTGTTTCACTTTCACCCACCTACCACCTGATGCCCAGGTTGTGTCTGAAGATGTGCACTAGGTGTGGGACAACTTGCTCTGGGCCAGAAGAGCGTTACTGACCTGTCCCTAATACCCACAAGGATAAATGTTGGGTTCTCTTCTCAGAAGCTCCCAGACAGGTGGGTCTCAAGACTCACTTTTCTTCTTCTTTCTCTTCTTCTTTTTTTTTTTTTTTTAAAGCAGCAAATCTTTGCTTCAAATTAAATCTTAAAACAGAAAAGTAAAGGAAAGTGAAAGTCACTCAGCTGTGTCTGACTCTTTGCAACCCCACAGACTATACAGTTCATGGAATTCTCCTGGTCAGAAGACTGAAATGGGGAGCCTATCCCTTCTCCAGGGATCTTCCCAACCCAGGAATTGAACTGGGGTCTCCTGCATTGCAGGCGGATTCATTACCAGCTGAGCTATCAGGGAAGCCCATCCCAGTGTAAACAAGCCAGTTCTCCCACCAGTTAGCCCTGTAGGTAAGAGCTGGCATTGCTTTGGTTGAATGGGGGACCCACCCACACCCCCTGCAGCCCCCAAAGCAGCCCTGTGGATGCAGGCATCCAGGAAACGTGGTGTGGAAACTGACACCCTTGGTCATGTGCTGGGTCGCTCAGCTTCAGCCCCTGTGTTCCGTTCTTCCTTCAGCCTTCCTCTGGGGACTTCATGAGGAATGAAAGAAAGAGAGAGAAACGGATCTGACCTGTTGGGGGGCGGTGAGTGGGGTGAGTCACTTCCCCCAGTGTCCCCCTAGGTCAGAGGTGGAGGGATGGATGGGGGCCTCCTCCAACCCAGCGACCTCTGGGTTAGTCCCCTGGAGCCCTGACACACCAGCTCCTACCCCGCCACCCTCAGAGGAGTGTGTGAAGACGTGAGAAACCTCTGGTCTAGGAGCCAAGACCGTCGCCAGGTCGCCCTGGCTCCCCAGCGGACTCGCTGGGTACCTGGGGCCAGCCGGAACCGCGGGGGAGGAAGGCATGTCTCCAGTCCTCCTTCAGAGTTGTTTTAGGGTCAGATAAAGAGGCTTGCACATCGCATCCACTTAGCGACCCTCACAGCCTGTGTAGTGGGTGTTCCTCTCTCTTTGTGACCACCAAGGAAATTACCCAACTCCTCTGTGCCTCAAGTTCCCACGGTGCCATGTGGTGGATAATAGCAAGAATAACAGAAAATGTAAACTGCAGCTCGAGACAGTGACCTCCTTGAGGTTTCAGGCCTTGGAACATCCGGCTCAGACCCTGATGGCCTCAAGGCCAGAGTTTCCCAAGGACGTTAAGCGGCCTCTTTGTTCTTGTCCAGAGTTGCTTGACTGTTATTTTTACCTGTTAATTCACTTGAGGGATGTGGACTCCAGTGGGGGGCTTGGCAGTTTGCCTTTCTATCCATGGACACCCAATTGTCAAGCCTGCTTTGTCCAGAGATTGTAAGAGTGTAGACTGTGGAGTCAAATAAGGACTTGACCGCCAGCAAAGGGAGCGGGAGCAAACTCAAGACTGTCTGAGACCGTTCATCATGCCTGGGTGAGCACAATTTAAATCTGGAAATTTCTGCTCAGCCGGATTAGAGAGCTCTAAATGGCAGTATTTAACTCCTGCCTGCGGTCCCTGGAGCTTCTCCCAAGTGACATTTCCAGATCTGAGGGGGGCATGTCCTCCACTTGCTGGGGAGGAGGCTCTGGACCGACCTTGTTCTAGAGAGGCTGGGTGCTTGGTGTCTTCCCAGCGGAGCCGTGCGGGATGCCTTTTCCTGTGGGGGAGGGGGAACAAGTCATCATACCCGTCGTGACTTCTCTGGACAGCTGAGCCGGTGGAGGGGTGTGTAGACCCCACTCCAAAGCTGTCTTTTCCAACAGACTGATGCCTTTCCCCTTAGCAGATCATTTGGGTAGTCCCCACAATTCTTCAAGTCTTCAGAAAATCAACTCTTAATATTCATTGGAAGGACTGATGCTGAAACTGAAGTGCCAATAATCTGGCCACATGAATAGAAGAACTGACTCATTGGAAAAGATCCTGATGCTGGGAAAGATTGAAGGTGGGAGGAGAAGGGGGTGACAGAGGATGAGATGGTTGGATGGCATCACCGACTCAACGGACATGAGTTTGAGTAAACTCCGGGAGATGGTGAAGGACAGGGAAGCCTGGTGTGCCGTGGTCCATGGGGTCGCAAAGAGTTGGACATGACTTAGCGACTGAACAACCACACAATTCTTCACTGTACTTTGGCCACGAAGACAAAGCTTTACTGAGCTCAGAACCGGCTGATAACCCCACCTCCAGGGTGATGCAGCCAGCCAGCGGCCCTGGGAGAGGAATAATACAGTATTAGGCAGCTCCCTGCGTGTAAGGTGCCCGTCTAAGCTGGAGGAGGCTGTAGGCAGGAGACAGGCAGCAGGAAAGGAGGTGCCATCGGCTGGCTGGTCTGCAGAAGTGGCTCTGAAAGCCTTTCTTAAAAGCTTTGTTCTCCCCTCTGTCCTCCAGAAATAATGACCTTGTGTGGCAGCTTTTTGTAATGTCTCATTTCCATGCCCCAAGCAATGGTTCAGCTGATTTCCCAAGGCTTAATGGGGGGATCTGGGGAGCCTGGGAGATACCGTGAGTGAATAGACATAAAGAGTGGTTTTGTGTTTTCTTAGCAAAGGGTCAGGAAGGAGTCTTAGAAGGTTCCTGGGCTCGGCTCAGTGTGGAGGCTTATCGGTAGCCCATCTGATCTGCTGGGGTCGGAGAATACCTCCAGATCCGCATCCCACAGCCTCCCCACCATCAGATTAGGCACTCGGCAAGAGTGCTGTTTTCTTTTTCTTCAGTATTTCAGCAAGATCCTTTGAGAGAGAGGGCAGAGGAGAAAATGGTACTTGGCTTTATGTATTTAGGTTTATTCCACTTCATCTGCTGATCGCGTCTATCCCAGGCACGGTGACTGGAGCCGGATGCCTCCCGTTGGCAGTAGAGAGGTAGCCGCGTTGCTGTCTCCACACTAGCTGGCCCCAGGAGTGCAGAGGGTGGGAAGCTGCCCCCCCCTCCATGTGCCAGTTCAATGCGGGCATCAGTTCACTTAATCACAGCAACTGTGGAAGGTGGATCTTTACCCAATTATGCAGAAGATAAGCCTCCAGCTAAGCAGAGAGTCAGCCACCCAGCTGGGCTTTGAACCGGCTGCACCTGGGGTGTGGCCAGGCTCTGTCAGCTACTTACTGCACCCCAGCCCCAGGGGTCTCCAAAGCCCTCTAGGTACATCTGCTTCCTCCCCCCCTCCTTTCTGTCGTTATCCAGGTGAAATCAAGTTCAAAGTCACAACAGTGAGGAGCGGTGAAGAAAGGCCTGCCCCTTGCAGCTCAGGTGGGGCGAAGACAACTCCGAAGTTCCCGGGAAGGTGGGCAGTGAGCTGGGCTGACGGCAGGTGATGGAAGCCACCAGCCCCAGGGGGCCCCCATCCTCCCCTTCCTTCCCGCTGCTGCCCCCGGCACCGGACGCTTGCTGGTGCTGGCCAGAGCGGAGGGCAGGGGCCACTCCTGGTGTGGGGCCCGTGGCTTCTCTGAGCCAGCTCCGGCACTGGGCGGCTGCCCTCCTAGGCATGCAGGCTTATTCAAACCTGTGTGTCTTCAAACTAGATACCATCAGGCAGTCTCTTCTCACCAGAATCTATTCGGGACCCAGCCCCGTGGATCAGCATATTGATACTAACAACCAAAACCTGTTCAGGAACCAGCTCCATAGACCAGCACGTTGACACTAACAACCAGAATCTGTTTGGGAACCAGCCCCATGGGTCAGCACGTCGACACTAACAAGCTGACTTGGCCAAAGCTTCCAGCCCAGCACGCTGACAGTTAGCCAGTTATTCTGAGAACATTCTTTTCAAAACACTCGACAAACAGGCTGAGAGGTTCCTTTGTCCACAGCCAGCCTCTGAAACTGAGCCGAAGCTCAAAGGGCTGAGAAGAACTCCAAGGAGGGTGTGAGAGGAGGAGCAGGAGGCCGAAGCCTTTGTCAATGTGGGTGGGGAAGATGGCCAGTGACAGTGAATTTTGCTTCGAACATGGATCATTTGTGCTTTTATCAAAGTGGAGCTTTTAATTCCTAAAATATAACAGCCTTGTGCGGGAGCTTGAAGAAAAGGCAGCTTTTCCTGCAGAACTTTGCTGTCGAGCGCCTGCAGTGGAATGGAAACTGTGGTTCAGAGTTGGTCAAGCTACTTTCGACTCCTGACACCACCTTGCTTTCATCTCCTGTGTCCTGCAGCTCCAGGCTGCCCGCTAGGTGGGAGCTGTGGCTGCTTTGGGCCCCCTTGGAGCTGCGCTTGTGGATGAGCTCGTTTTATCCTGCAGACGTCTTTGTGAATCATGGAAATCAGTTGAATGTTGCACTCTGCCTCTTGTTGGCGATTCTCACTCTCTTTGTTATGGGTCTCTGCTGTCTTTTTCTCCAAGGCCTTTTCCTCTGAAGAGGGAAGGGGAAGTTGTTGGAGTCGGGTCACTGGAGGTTTCCAGTCCTGCTCTGCCATCTGCAGCTGTATGGCCTGGGGCTGGTGGCCGTCCCTCTCTGGGCCTTGGTAAAATGGGGAACCAGGCCTCTGCCTCGAGGGGTTGTTGCTCGGATTAAAGAAGCCAGAAGGGGGCATTGACACAATGTGGCCAGAGGCTAAGCATTCCTCAGCTTCCTAAGCACAAGGCACGGTCCTTAGCTTGTATTAATGCATCTGACCTTCTCCAGAACACTTTGCAATAGGTTGTGGTGGGTCTTATCTCACCAAAGTGGCGACACAGGTTCGTAGGAGCAGATCACCCTGTTTGGGCTGTGCAGGATGGAGCCCTTTGCTGTCCCTTGCAGTCAGGCTCCGGAACCTGCACTGATAATTTTGACCCAAATATGTACTGTTAAGTGGTGACTTTATCATGTTTGTCAATACTCCCTAAAAATCTGGTTTAAGTCCCTCCATAGCAGCATCAACAATCGCAGACCTCACCAGACTTACATGCTCTTTGTGGCATAGACCATCACCCTCGAATGTGTCCACCCCAGAAATGCTGGGGATTCCTCAGCAGGACTCTGCAGGAACCTCTGAATGTGGATTCTGTCCCCATAGGAACCTCTGCACGTGGATCTCCCGGGTGACAAAGACATTGTTAAAATCGCTGCTGTCCTGGACTTTCCTGGTGGTCCAGTGGTTAAGACTCTGTGCTCCTAATTCAGGAGACACGGGTTTGATCCCTGGTCCTGGGAGGTCTGGAATGCTGTGCTGTGAGGCCAGAAACAGTCCTTGCTGTCCTTTGCCAGAACCCTTCAAGATCTCGTGGCCAGAGTGCCGGGCTGGTGCCGGAACAGCCCTGGGGTTAGCGCTCCTCCGCCGCCGAGTGACAGAGCGACTCCTCCTCGAGCAGCTGCGGCCAGAGACGAGTCAAGGGCCCCGCTTCCCCAGGCCGGGCGGGGGTGACCTCAGCAGAGTCACTGCTAGATGCACATGACATGAGCTGAGAAGTGACATTTGTCGTGTGGGTGCACGAGGCTGCCAGGCCTCTGGGGTCCTCTGGAAGTGGTCTGAAGGCTCTCTGGGGTCTTGGGTGTGTCTGCCCAGCAGTAGCTGCGCCTTGGCTCGAGGGCTGTGCCCTCAGGACCCTTTCCGTCCCACCCTGGCAGTGGATCGAATTCGCGGGTGCTCTCTTCTGCCTCCTTACCCACTGGATCTGATACCAGACCGTTTCCACACAAACACAGGATGGAAAATGAGTGGACTTCCTAAAAGGGCTGTTTCGAATGCTCTGGAGCTTTGACAATTCAGGGAGACGTCGTCTTTGGGCTTGTGCTGTGCCTGCAGGGAGTGCTATCACCTGGGTCACCTTGGGGGCGGTGCTGCCGGGTGGCAGAGTTGCCCACTCACGGCCTCGGGCCCAGGGCAGGTCTGCAGGAAGATGCCCTGTGCATCTCACCCTTGACCTGCTGCTTTGCTGGGCTCCTCTGTGTGTTCAACAGTCTCTATCCCACAAGGCGGGATCATGATGGACCAGGGTGAACACAAGCTCTCACTTACTGAGCCGGGCACTTTGTAATAGGAAAGACATTGTCATCCCCATTCTATAGATGATGAAACTGAGGCTTCAGGTAACTTATTCATGGTCAAAGCTAGCAGATAGGAGAGCTGAGTCCTGGTCTAGGATTGGCTCTCCAAGGAACTTGTTCTTCTTGCAGCGCAGTACTTTTCAATTCTGAACACCCTTGACAATGGCCTAGGGGGACTTTAGAAAGGAAGGCCTCACTCCCAGAGGCCCTGACCCCACTGGATGCACTCCGGGCACCTTATTTTTTGACTACCAAGGGATTCCTAATACACAGGCGGGCAAAGGATCAGGGCACAGGGCCAGGATGGCTTTGGACCCAAGTCCTCCTGGAAAGCGCTTGATTCCCAGCTGAATTCGCCGCTGGCACCTGCAGCCTGGCTCGGTCTCTGGTAACTCACAGGGAATTGAGGGGGGCGGGGGGCGGTCCTGGCATCAGCAGGGCCAGCTGTGCCCTGGGGTCAGCGGGCAGGCAGCTGTCAGTCAGGTGTGATCTGAGAGATTCTAGGAGGCTGTCCGCCTGGGGTGGGTCACGCTGCCCTGCCCTTTGCCTGCCTTTCCATCCAGCAGGTGGGAGAACAAGGGAGCTGTGGCTCTGATTCCAGAAGGCCCTGCGATGGGAAGGCCTGGGGACATGGGGACCGAGCCAGCTCCCTCCCCTCCAGCATCCTGCCTGTCCCCACCCGACCTGCATGGTTTACCTGGGAGAGAAGAGGGGCTCTGCCAGAAGTCAGAGGGCTTGAAGGGTGAGAGGAAGGGGGGGGTGCTCCCACAGGGGCTGGGGACCCCACGATGCCTCGGCGTTCCCACGGGGGCTCAGGGCTCACGTGGGATTGGGGGACTCCACGATGCCTCAGGGCCCACAGGGGCTCAGGGGTCACATGGGGGTTGGGGACCCCACAATGCCTCGGGGCTCCCACACGGGGGGGCTCAGTGCTGTGGGAATCAGGAGGTGGACGGCCCAGCGCTCAGGAGCCTGGCCCCGCCGCGCCTGGCTGGGGGCTGCCTGCCCTGGGCTCCTCCTCCGTCCGCCTAGGCCAGTTCCCAGCAGGCTGCCCGCCGCACTTGTCAATGGAGCCAGATGCTGCTTTGGGGAAACACCTTCTGGAGTTTGTTGTCTGAGCCCTCCCAGCCGACACCCACGGTGGAGAAGATGCTGCTTTGGGGAAACACCTTCTGGAGTTTGTTGTCTGAGCCCTCCCAGCCGACACCCACGGTGGAGAAGATGTGTCAGGGTACATGGAAACTCTCTTCATAAATATTTGGAAAAAAGCAAAAGGGAAAAAGGAGAGAAGAACTCACCGTCTGGGATGCCTTGGGGGCATCTTGGTGATGGCCACAGACAGATGGGGGAGGCAGGTCACCAACAGTCGTCACCTTGTAGGAGGCCCCAGCGGGAGCCGCCAGGGCCGGGCCTGGTTCGGGCTGCGGGCACCGCGGGGCTGTGGCTCCGGGGAGAGGCCAGGCCTGCCTGGGTCACCAGCAGAAGCCCCGGAGCACAGGCGGCGCCAAGCTGCCACGTCTCCATAACGCATAATCATGCCTCCAAACTCAGCCTTGGGACTTCGCTACAGGTGGAGCGCAGGCTGCAGTGGCTTCGGGGCGCCCCTGGGAGGAGAGTGGAGAGGCCCCGCCCCGGGGGACCGAGGCACTGAGGGCAGAGCTGGCGCCGGAGCAGAGGAGGGGCAGCATGGCGGAGCGGCCCCGGGATGGGCTCCGCCGCCCGGAAGGCTCAGCTGAGGGACCAGAGTGGGCAGCGTCCTCCGCAGGCCAGGCCTCCCCAGTGACAGGGGCCCTGCCCAGGTCTGGAGCCCCCCTTGGCTTCACTCCGGCACAGTCCCGGTTCCAGCCACGCCGCCCCATGCATCCCTGGAAACAGAAGCTGCTGCTCATGTCCGCTTGTCCTCGGGCTCCCCGCACGCCCTATCGCTGCCCTCCGGCAGCGCCGCTGCCCACCGCAGAGGCCTGGCTCCCTTTGTCTCGGATCACAGGGGATGGACTCTTCACACTGGAGGGAAGGACGGTCTGAGGGGGCGGCCACTGGGCTGGGCAGGGTCCCTGGAAGACAAAATGCTGGGAGAAGGTTCTTGGGAGCAGGTGGGTTCCTAAATGTAAGTGTGTTGTTCAGTTGCTCGGTCATGTCCAACTTTTTGCGATTCCATGGGTTGCAGCATGCCAGGCTTCCCTATCCTTCGCCATCGCCTGGAGTTTGCTCAAACTCATTTCCATTGACTTGGTGATGCCATCCAGCCATCTCATTCTCTAAGTCTAAGTGTTGGTGCCTGTAATTAACTTGGATGTGCATGGGGTCCTCTGCCTGGAGGCTGGGCAGACACTATCCCCCCATAGTGGCCGATGTTCTTTAAGT